CCATAAAACAATACAAAAAGCTTAACCATTACAAGGCGACAAAAGTGTAATATCAATAGAAGACAATAGGAACAATAGCTGCCCTCTGTCAATTATGCCATCATTACCATTGGAATAAACGACGTAATGGATCAGAGTCAAAAAGCAACATGATGACAACACAATGTAGCCACAATTATATATCACGCCGTCCAACAGACAAAAATAATTCTTAATAGCCAATAAATACGACACTAACATCAAGCATGATCTTGCATATTCAACATGACGAAACAGTTAGTCTATAAATGATTTATAGACTGCGGCGCCGTTCTAATTTTAGTCACTTAATAATATACAATGAATCTGAATAATTAGTGCCACACGCCCGTTTCTTTTATAACCTAATTAGAGGATTTTAGAAAGATAGTCTATTTGAGCTTGTTCTACCGGCTTATTTTGTTACTACTTTAAGTTATGCTATCTACATCGAACCCGGTATAATAACCATATGTGATTATGTTATTTCATCAGCATGTTCCACTAATTTGCACGCGAACATATTGAAGAACCTTTGATAACTACCGTCGGACGCCGAGAGAAAGTTACAAAAGTGATTTGGTGTTTGAATCGTGATAAGCGGCTACAAGCTTATTCTAGTAAACTCGTAAATTCTACTCCGTATCTGTTAGATTTGTTCCTTGAACATTTTCATTGAAATATAATACTCGAACATGAGGGTGACTCACCCAAAAGGTTTCAATTTTGCGAAATATCTACATGATTTCAATACATTGTATTTTAGCATTGTTGAATGTATACTTACTGAGTATTATTAATTTTATTTATATCTCGGTATTTAAGTCTCCTCCATGACTTGATAGATTTACGTTCCACTATTTATAAGTGAATCTACAGTGTTATTTAACATCGTTTGATCGCAATCGCGTGGTTTGCTGTGGTTGCTAGACGGAATGTGCTCTTATTGTTGAGTCATAAAGATTACACAATTTGTTGCGTGCACTCCGAAACCGATTTGCGATTATGTGATCCTTGCATTTGTCAAATATGATCGAAACGTGTGAGGGTGTTATTAGTTTTGTCGACACGCGATCGTGAGATAACTCCGCAGCTTGCTTGCCACTTGTAATTTGATGGGAGGCGCTCGAGCTTTAACGTTTACTTTTTTGTGTTCCTTTGTTGTTGTTTTTATAATGGTATATTAAAACTGTTTTTTTTTTGTTGAATTATTTGTTTGTTTAAACGCGGTAGGAGGAAACGGGATAGGCGATCAGGATCGCATGGTCAGGTCGCCTGTAACTTGAATTGGCTTTTGCTGGGAAATCTGAGCACTCCAATAATATTAAAACACGGCAAACAATACAAAAGTTAAAACAATACAATACAAATTAACATAAAAGTTATTTATTTTCTTTGTAAATGTGTTCCTCTAACATAATGTTTATCCCCACATTTGTAATTGAACATTACTATTAATTATAATATATATTTAGATTATGCGATACCTTGTGATGTAATGAGCTTGGAGGGCAGTGTACAACAGTTGGGAAATCGGATATATTTTAAATCATTATGACAATGCAGCGTGATTAAAGTCTTATATATTTTACTTTAAAAATTTTGCTCATTTTCAAATGAATACATCTCAATACTGTCATTTCTCTGCAGGTAGTGAATCTCCCCCTTCGGCGTTTGCAAATGTGCGTGCATGTGGTGTATCGTAAAAATGACAAACTTACTTTTATTGCCTTGTACAACACATGTAAGTAATGTACTGTCGTATAGTATGGTTTTTGTCAGCGGGCAATCGGCGATTTATTGAATTGCATTGTTGATTATTTTATTAACGACTTTTGATTACGCGAAAGGCATTTCCAACCATGGCTTCACCTTCTCACATATTATTACGTTGAAAGGCTTGACGAAAGCAGTGTTTATCACAAACAGTAAATATGTACCGATGTTTAATACTTAGTAAAACTGTCGCTTGTTTTTTTTATGGCAGTTTTTTTTATGGTACGAGGGCGGGTCAATAAGTCCGTGACTTTTGGAATAAAACACAGATTTTTTGATAAATAAATAATTTTATTTTTCAACGTAGTCTCCCTTGAGCTCTATACACTTTGTCCAACGCTTCTCCAATTTTTTTATCCCTTTCAAAAAATATGATTTGACGAGGTCCTCAAAATAGGCCTTTGTTTGCGAGATGACTTCATCATTGGAGTCAAATCTTTTTCCACCAAGCCATTTCTTCAGGTTTGGGAACAAGAAGTAGTCACTCGGAGCCAAATCTGGAGAATAGGGCGGATGAGGGAGCAATTCATAGCCCAATTCATGGATTTTTGCCATGGCAACTGCACATGTGTGCACCCTTGCATTGTCTTGGTGGAAAATAACTTTTTTCTTGGCCAAATGAGGTCGGTTTTTTTTCAAATCGTCATTGAATCGGTCTAATAAGTTGGCATAATATCCCCATTGATTGTTCTTCCCTTTTGAAGGTAGTCAATGTGGATTATCCCGCTTGCATCCCAAAAGACAGTCGCCATAACTTTATTGGCTGACAAACCCACCTTGGCCTTCTTTGGCGCCGATTCACCCTTAGAAACCCACTGTTTTGACTGTTGTTTGGTCTACTGGGCATCCAGGACGTTCGGCATCTTCAGTGCTTGTACGGTCACAGAAATTCAGTAAACCACTTTTTTACCATTGAAATCGATGGTGCAGAGCCCCATAGTATTTATCAAGCTTAGCCTTGGTCTGGGTAATGGTTTTTTTTCGCAAAAAATAATGCTTAATAAGCACACGAAATTCACTTTTTTCCATTTTTTCCCCAAATTACTGGGTAGTCTGATAAAGATAGCTGTCAAACACAAACTAACTGACGCAGCAAGTTCAAATTTTGACAGGAGTCAACTGACAGATGCCTGTTGACAGGAGTAGTGTTGCTTTTTCAGTAAAGAGGTCAGAAATTCAAAAAGTCACGGACTTATTGACCCGCCCTCGTACCATCGATCATATGGGTGTCCATGGACACCTGTCCAGTCCAGTGACTACTGCTGTCCAAGGACACCTGCAAAAAAATACAAGGGCGCTTTGAGGCCCCCCCTTCCCGAATTCGGGGGTCTGGTGGTCCTCCCGTAACCTCACTGTGAGGCGTCTTCTTAAGGTCAATAGTTTTAAATATTTTAGATAATTTCTAACAATTCGATATAATTTATGTCATTATTAATTATTAATAACAATGATTCCTAGTGCGGGAGTTGTCTTTTTAAGGATTTTTTTTGTTCCTCGCAATAACTTTTAACTTTCGTAAATATACTTTTATTCTCGCATTTAAGCATGAAGTGAAGGGCGGAAGTCTTTTGCTTATATTCATTCGAATCTTTTAAAATTAAAATACTTTTGGAACACATTGTGACAGACTTTAATTTAGTGTGGCACAACATTTTTTTTATTGAAATTCGTGGTTTTAATAAACTCCTTTGTGCAGCTACCTTTTATTTGTTCCGGTGCCTAAAAGGTAATTGGAAATCGTGGTAAATGCACCCGATGAGGTCGCGATTGTTTAAAGTATTGATGTGCGTTTGCTTATAGCGTGTAAAGTCGTCAACACTCTTTGCCATGGCTTGTATATTTTGTATTTCATATATATAAAAAAAAAAGAAGGGCGTTCTCAATATTTTTTAGGTAAGTTACACGATATATCGAAGAGGGCTAGCCAGGTTTAAAGGACTACATTTCTTTGGCAGTATACCCTATACTGTTTAAGTAGTCTTATTTTCATAAGGTTACTCTGACGATTTGATCCTTACGAAATCACGGAAAGTTTTCAAACAATACAGGCTATAGAGTTTCTGGTATTTTTAAAGTAACTCGTGTATCTCCTGTCGAAAATCTTTAGTTGGTAAAGTTTAACTAATGTGTAGTTTTTATTATGTATTCTATTATGATAACTCCAATAAGAGACATAGAATGCTGGTTATTATTATCATGATTGAGGCATGTTTCAAGTCGGTTACTCATTTTGAAAAATTATATAAATATTATATTAAAATGATTCAATTAACTCATAAAACATTTCCAATATAGTTAATTAATTGTAATAATGTACGGCCGTACGAATGTTTATTAACCAATTAATTAGTGGAAGGATTGGTTCCCCGTATTTCACTGTGAAGAAGACATCGACAAAACATGTCGGCAACTTTCACATACCGATTAATTGTAATCGGTCTTCTACCAAAACAATATTCAATATACAAGCATATTTGCCAGCACTTTAACGACATGCATTTATTGTAACTCAGGTTATTATTTATAAGGGCCACCGACGAATCCAAATTGAAAATTAACCCCATTTAGACATACACACCTCCTGGCGCTCAGGTTTTTTCATAAAATTTTTTCATCATGTCATGTCAACACGACCAATAAATTATTACCACTCTAACAAGCTATTATTATGGATCCTGACATTTTATTTAAGATGCTTTTGGGCGAAATTGAAAAATTTCACCCACAGTTTTTACCAACAGACCCATTCCTGTTGCACCGCAGGCCAAAAACTGTATCGAAATTTATGTCCAACAATTTCGGAGTTATTTAACGAATTATTTGTATCTATGCTCCACATAAAATGTTATTGACTTTTTGGAATAATTAATGTTCGTCTATTTGGTTCGAAACAGTTAACAGATTCGATGGATCAGAAAATCAGCATACTAATTAATAATTTTAACCTGTGTCGCGTGTCGAAAACTCCCGAAGTGGATCGAGTCAGGTGGCCCTCAATGCCTACAGTTCAATGACACCGGTCAGGTAGGGCCAGTAGATGATTGATCTGCTTCCTTATCACATGCCGTCGCCTACGTTCGGCTTTCTCAAAGACACATTGTCTCCGATCAGAGAAGCGTACTTTAATAACATTATAACTTTACCCGAAATCTCATCGATCCCCTCCTAACTTCTTGTTCTATATATCTTTTTTGTTATTGTTGCAGAGTATTCAGACTAAGATCCGGGCCATAAAAGAAATGTAAGACATTTTATTTATTCAAATTATTAAAAGGATAACATTTTTGTAATAAAACTTTGAACATTATTTTCGAATCTTTATACGATCAATTGAAAAAATGACAGGTTTGCCTGTTCTTTCCAGTATTCACGGAATAGATTAGAGCTATCTATTTCTATAAGCCATAATTACTTATACTCTGTTCAATAATTTATTTTGTTTTGGACAGTTTCTTAAATAGATAATTAGTGATTTCCAAAAATGCCACAGCTTCTATTTAAAAAAAATCTACTGAACTAAGCCATCCATATTCATCTATAGCTTGTAATCAATGTGTTATCATTCATTACTACTAGACTTTGCATTCGTATACTAAATTATTCATAACTGTCAACGGAAGGCTTTTTGTACAGATTTAGAAATAGATCAATTTTTAATACGCAGTAGAAAAAACTGTTCACATCACTATGCAAAATATATATAAAATAAAAAGATAAATTGCATGAATAGTTATAAACAGTGTAATCAAATGAAAATAGATCAAATTATTCACAAAGAAATTAAAGTAAAACAACAGAGTATAATAATGGTACTGATAAGAAAATAAGAAGAAAATTACTGTGGTATTATATTTTGAAAGAATTGCCAGCTTGAGGACATAGATCACTATGTCCACTAAAATGACAATCCTTGGTTTTAAACTATTTATATTTATAGCTCTAAAATCACGTTATGACAAATTGCACCGAGACCCCGATGTTCACAACTTTGAAGTGTGAAATGCCATTTTTTTCAAATGAAGGAAATGATACATTACAATTTATTACAATTAAGTATTGAAACTCCAGTATATGAAGAAATGTTTAAGAGATAACAATGCATATTTTTGGAAACTAATGTTCAAGATTTGGTCGGCACGGCGGCGCCGCATCTAATTTAGAAAGTAATTTTTATATTTAAACTTTTGCGTTGAACGTTTTTCTTGGAGTAATTTATTGAACGCCGTCGGGTACACACTTTTCTGTAATTGCACACTATTTGGGTTTACTCCTACGTATCAATCTGTCATAATTTTACACGCTGTACGGTAGGCAGTTTTTGTATAATAATTCACTTTATCCTTTTTGGCTTGCAGATGGGACATTCCAGCACTCCTGAATAAAATTCCTAATTTAGGAGCTGTAATAGACTTGACGAATACGAGGAGATACTACAACCCAGCGGTAAGTATGTATACAGCGGTTGTTAAAATTGTCATTGTAGTGAAACATCAGTTAGGTACAAAGTGACATTAACTAGACGCACTCGCGTATGCATACATACCGAAACGGACATCTCAGTCCCATAAACATTCCTCGGTTGGCTGTTAATAATAATGAAAGGTAACAACCACTCTGCACTTACAAGTGTAAGACAAGGTGTAGGGCAGTTACGACTTTTACTCGCACGGTTAGCGCCTGTAGGAATCTTTGGCCGTCCGCTATGTGTTAGAATACTTGGAAGCTATAAAGTTATGTTCAGTTTTACGATTGAAAGTTACATTTTCCAATACGATGCTTTGTTCGTACTTACATCTGATTGCCTGGTATTCATCTTCTAGCATAATCCGATCATAAAACATGTTTTTCATGGAGTACTTTACTCTGAGTCGAGGCACAAGTTAGTGAACGACATGTCAATGAAACTAAGCGTTACTGAGCCTTTGTTACATCTATGTTTAGTTAGAATTTTAGGCTAACTCTATACATATAAATCTAAAGTTATCCACATTTTGTATAACTAACATATATATATTAATTAATTGGGATATGACTTTTTATTTATTGCAAGACAATAACAATGTACGAGTATAATACTAATTATGTCGTTAGGAAAAACTTTGACCAAATTTGGCAAAAGGGTTCTAGCAACGGATGTAGTATCATACGCATGTAACTCAGCATACTTTACTACTAGATGTAGCACACATTTTTATTACGTTTAGGATGCATTAGTTCTTAGTACTCAGGTTCCTATTGTGATGGCCATAATCTTTTCTAATGTGCATGACCAGATTTGCAGCCCGTTACTTGGGATTTTTTAGGACGACAATTTGTCCACTTTATTTGCAAAAACGTTATTTATGTATATTTATATTTTTGAATGGGTTAAAGTTCTTCATTCAGCAACTTTTGCAAGCAAGTTTTGAAGACCGCTTATGTTATCCAAGTTGTTGTCAAAGCGTAATGAGTTATCTAAAAACCTGAAAACCTCATTGGTATGATTTGATGCAGTTAATTATATATTTAAAGAAGAAGCAGAAAACAAAAATGTTTAAATAAAATATTTGTTATACATTAAAAATAACAATACTCAATACTGAGAATGAGTTACATATTTTTTATACACTAGCGGTGTCGCACACGCTTGTTGAAAAAATTAGATAAAAATCATCTTTGAAGGGTGTTGTATATTGTGTCAAACAAACGAACTTTTTGAGTTTTTTAAGCCTACACAAACCAACATAACATTTTTAAATATATAGATCGAAACACCCAAAAATCAATGCAAATGTTCATATTCATGAATAACAAAACTTACACTGATATAGAGCTTAATGATCTAATCCGCGGCGAATATAAGAATACTAAAATATTTTTACGACGATTTTGAATGTGATCAAAATAATGACTCGATCGTAACAAGTTTATTGCAATGAAATTTTACGGAAGATACGTTATATTCATACTGCACGCACAAAATGTTTGTTCTGTAACCGTACATACATGTATTAATGCAGTTTGGAACAAAACATACACTTACCTATGGTATGATATTCTTTTACCTTTATTCACCTTTTCGATGTAATTTGTGCACGTATTGTGGCATATCTCCCCCTAGTTTGTATATAATATCGTTGGTTTATTGTATCAATCTCTATGAAGTTATTCCTTGATTATAAATCCAATATAATATAATACAATATAGTATAGTATAATGATATATATGTAATTCATTATTTAATTATTATTTTTCATATATATGTACATATAATACACTATTACATAATATAAACATATTAAACTACAAATTTTGGGCAGAAAAACAAGAAGCATACAGACGTAACAGAAGTTTAATAATAAAATAAAATTTAAAGTAGATTGGTATTATATATTAAATCATATATTTATATTATTTTTAATGATTATTATTTATATTATTGTGTCATTTCAAATATTATTTACAATACACTTGTCGTTTTTACCACTTACAGTATCGCGACTAAACTGAAAAGCTTATGGATGGCTACTTAGATTATGGATAGCTTCATCATCATCATCACCACCATCAACGTCTTTGATAGTCCACTCCTGGACATAGGCCCCCTTTAGTCGGCTCTTGCGACACCCACGGGGTGAATAGGGCTAGTGACACTCCGTATTCTTAATCTGACACCCTGGCTTCTAGAGTGAAATATTTTCAACTACATATAGATATTTCGAATTGTTACTGAAGAAAAATGTGTTTTACATTGAGGGTAGTCTTGTTTTGTCTTTATAAAGTACAAACTATTAATAGGAATATGCTTAGATTACTTTTAATTATTATAAACGGGTACAATAAAAAAAAAAACTAAGTTTTTCGGGGCTTATAACTTTGCGTGGCACATTATTAGAAGTAGAGGCTCCTCTTTTAGTTATCTTTAATGGATTTTTTTCTGAAGATTTGAATACCTTTTAAAGGAGAACGGCAGATCCTGCACCTCTAGTAATATATGATGAATGGTTATGAAATTTGGAGCGTTTATAAAGTGAGTCATCCTAACTATTTTCATGTAATATCATATTTTTAGAACTTTGCTAAAAGTAAATAAATTCTTCTCAAAGAAGTGTTACAACTGCAATAACTAAAGGTTCAAGTGTCATGTTGGTAATAAAACGCATTCCCACGTTTTCTAAATTTGCCATGCATAAAATATAAATTACATAAAAAAAATATTTTTACATCGAGATCATGAATGAGCTCACTAGTGTATTTCGCAGTTAAAAACATTTATTTCAATGATTATTTCAAATCAGTTAATGTAAAATTTTATTCAAATCGATTAGATTAATCGTGAACATTATGTAAAAAAGTAATTAAACTATTTGAAAGGGCAACATTTTATTGACGGGTCAAGAATATCGTAGACGAATGATTATGCAAGATATTTAGGTTAACTTGTTGACGGCGATGAAATATCATTTGTGACAGTCAGCTGTCATTGGTATCGATTTCAGTACAGCCTAACTAAAAACTGAAATAACTTTTGAACACAAAGTTCTTAAAATCTGTTAATAAAAACTGTCATTTATAATGATAGTACCAGCCAAATAAATACAACAATAATCCCTACCATGAGATGTGCAAGGTGGTACAAAAGTCCCATACATGCCTGCCTTTGTTGTTTGCTCATGAGAGATGGCACACCAAATACCTGGATATGATTGCGGGAAGTCATTCTTATTGAATAATGCGAGAGTAGTGATATTATTATATTAAAAGACTAATCGGCTGCAAATAACGACTCACAAACAAACAGTAACGGCTGTTTGGTATTTCATTTGATTTATATTTGGATATCTCTTTAATCTGCTGGGTAAGTGACAGCGGGTGACATCTAAAGAGTCTTGTACGTCTCACTTATATAGTTATTTATTATGTATCATATCATATCATTTCTGTTCATATTCTACTTGGACAACATAATCTTATTAACGTGGTAATTTCAAGCCTATTAATTATCACTTCACATTCATATTATTCTAGATTTATTTTTGCAATATCTTTGAAGTTGAATTGTAATTACATTAAAATGAATGAATTCTGTTTTATGTAAAATTAATTAAATTGTATTAGTGAGACATTTACAATTGAACATAATTTATATACATTCATTATTAGACTTAGGTTTTAGTAATAATTTATTTTATGAGTAGTACACGTAAAATGTATTTTATTATAGTTGGAAACATTCTTGTGCATATATGAAATGATCAATAATAAGCAGTTACCTATTTAAAGAACTTAACTCGTCGCGGTGTTATGAGGGAGACTGTAGTTACTATGTAAATAATGATTGCTTTCTTTGTTATAGGAATTTCAAGCGGCGGGTGTACTATACAAAAAGATTTTAATGCCTGGCCGCGTAATACCTGCCGAGCACAAAGTGACAGAGTAAGTCTATCTTCTCCAGCGCGTTTTACGTGCGATTAATCGCGCTCTTATGTGAGACAGCTTCACGGTGCGTAGCCTTTTTTAGCTCGCCCAAGTAGAAGATATATCTCACATCCTTACCAACTTTATTACAAACTTCGAGCTGTCGAGTTAGCGTATATCTAATAAAACATGTTGTGTATTTTGATCATTAGTCTCTTTTATCAGTCGCGAGTCAAAGAATGTTTTTTATACTTCCACTGTCTTAAATCATTCAGTAACAAGTGTTTACTTAATACTAAATGCACGTGATTGATATCGACATTCAGGCGTCGACATTTTGCCTAAGGATGATACGCTATAACAAGTTTACGTCCCTTATACGGTGCCGCGTAAATCAGAAACAGAATGGCTATCTATCAACCTCGAATCATCGTTTTGCATTCGCGGTGAATTTTAATTTGAAGCGTCGAATTGGCGCCATTCGTAGGCCGAATATGGATAATGTTATAAATGTGTGGAGGTGTGGGCGGCACCGGCCGCGCGCCTTAGGGCCGCAGTCGACCCGACCGGTGCTGGTAGAGGTACCTATTCTCGTATTCAATTGAACTTGGTCACATCTAGCGCTTGTGTCGATGGCGGCGGCGTCTGCCTCCCACGCGGGACCCGATGCCTTTTGGAATTTGAAAGGTATTTGTCGCTGCAACGATGCGTGTCCACTCACGTGTTGCACTAGTCCCGGAGACTAAAACACCACGTTTTATTGTGTCGTAAACTTTGACACTATCAAAGTAATCATATTACAGTTTTTAATTGATATCGTTACTTATAATTGACTAGGAAATTCTTCAATATTATGATATAATTTTTTTATTTAATATGTTTAAAGTTATGTAATCTGGTGTAATGTAATTTTACATTTTATCGTGTTGATCAGATGGTAGAATTTTTTACTGTTTGAAGTAAAGATTTTGTAAAATTTGCGAAAATTACATAATCCCGGTTTTATATCGGTCCCATATCGCCTTTCCAGAGATTAGGTTGTAATCCACTAAGCTGGCTTTATTTAACCCATTTTGTCTTAGAATTTGATATTTTTTTGGTATATCGTTGTTAAAGGTACTTTTAGTTATTATTGATTATTAAAAGTTAAAACGATTTACTACTTTTGGAAACGAAACGAAGGGTGCCGTACGGCACTGCTAGGCCAATCCATAGGCTTTACATCCTTTTACTAGGTGTGTATTTACTTAACATTAGCTTATGGGGAAAAATATAAAAAAAAACATTTTCTTTATCAATTTAAATGATAATCGTAGCTTAGTACACCAAGCTTTGAAGTAAATGCGCATAGTATTATAATTAAACATCGAATTTCCTATATCGTCAGCTAGGTCCCAGTAATGTCTCTTAGATGATCGGTATTATACAAGAGTGCTATACCTGACAACATAAGAATAGCTATAAAAGCTTCTCGTCTTAAGTAGTCATTTTTGAGTCAGTGCAGTTCTAAAAGGCAGCTTATTTTTGTTATGATCTACCAAAAGGTTGTAAACACTTTCTTTTAAGGGTTCCCGTAGGTGACTTTCCTCGAACTAACCTAAAATCTCCTTCAGGAAACATGGGCGGCTTCCGAACCTAAATCTTCATTAATCTTCTTCGTGGTGCATGATCCTGTTTTAGTCTTCTTGGATCAAAGACTGGTCTATCGAGGTGATGACAAAGACGTAGATGCCAATACTACTTCGCACCTAGCATTTAGTTGACGACCTGCGAGGTTATTGAAAAGTCTACTGCCGTTTTTGTCACCCGAATCTCGATCAGAGGCGGTTCTGTAGGTTCAATATGAAGCAACCGCGGTTCAAGCTCCTCGTCTTTCTCTAATAGATCTTATCAAGACAAATAAATACGTATTACACGCGGCAAACTAAAATAAAAAATCATCGCCCAACGTAAATGAAAAGACATTATATCGACGTGGAGGTGCCAAACGGCGCCCGTACATACAACGTACGTATACGTACGTATATGCATACAAAACTGGATAATATTACTTTGTGCTATAGTCAAACAAATATATACGAATAAAACAAAGTGCATTTAAATTATATTTTACACAGACTAAGTTCTTTTTTAAAGACAACTCCCGCATTAGGATTATATCCTGTGTGGGGGGCTTTACAAACATACATGAAACGGACACAAAGAACACCCAGACTCAGAACAACAATTTGTGGATCACACAAATCGCCACACACACGCCGAGTGTTGTGGGTTTGAACCCACAACACTCGGCGCAGTAAGAAGCGGCGTGGCGACGGCTTAAAGCACTACGCCATCCGTGCAGTCAAATTATAACAAACTTGCTCGAAAGGTACATCCATTTTATGCTATGATTTCAAAACACTGACCTATTGACGCTCATCCCGGGTTTCAACAAGTACCAGGTGTAACAAAGTATTAAAATTGTTAGCTTCATGGCTCTAGCACCTCATCGATAGCCAATCGCCTGGTTTTACGTCTTAAAACGGGTGTTAACCGGCACCGCTAGGTTATAATGGGTTAATAACAAAACATTTTTATAAAAGTTTCTGAACTGGTCTGTTAGTCTAGTCAAGTCTAGTGGATAGCAGTCCTATCTGCTAAGTTACAGATCGTGGGTTCGTTTCCCACCCTGGACAAGTATTGTGTGTTCAAAAAGATCATTTGTTCTGGCTGGGTGTAATTTGTCTATAATATAAAATAATATGTATGTATTTAGAATTATATCAATATGCTTATTTCGAAATGTGTGTCTGTCAACGGTAATCGGTTGCCCCATTTTGTGTAAGTGGGACTAAAATTATAGTCGACAAAATGTGTGCGTTTAATACGTCTCTGTCTACCCATTAGGGGATATAACACGTGAGTATATGTAATAAACAAAAAACAAAAGAAAAATATCCTAACGCCACCATATCACACAACATATCAGTTTATAAAATGATTTGCTAGAATTGAACTCTTAGATTATCTCAATCATTTGTCTACCAGTCTCGTAGTCTTTTGTTAGTCGGCTGCACCCATCATCGGCCGTCAACGATATAAATAACCATTGGCATTTCTAAGATAGTTCGCCCCCTGTTATCTTGCTGGAGGACCTCGCATCTGTTTGTCAGTTAAGGGTTAAAAATGCGCCACCCATACAGTTACTTCGAATCTAAACCAAAAGATATGTCAGCTTAATGAACGGTCTATACACTTTTAGAATAGGAAACTTCATTGCTGTAGAATAAAATTTACCAAATATTGAAACGCCCTCGATATAATGGCACTGATTGAGCAGTTAAACCCCCTCCTCTTCGTTAGACGGCGACGATTTTTAAATAATTATTTATAATATAAACTAAACCGATTTAAAAAAAACACGCACTAATGGAAAGCTACATTATCTTATAAATGAAAAAGATACGAGTTATTTTCAATTTGAATTAAACTACTTTCAATTCGATATTAGAAATATTTATTACTGACTCCGTCCGCATGTTTTTAGGTTATGGCGGTAAAAAGTAGCCTATGTTACTCGCTGATAATGTAGCTTTCCATTGGTGAAAGATTTTTCTTAAATCGGTGCAGTGGTTTAGGCGTGAAAGCGTAACAAAAAAAACACACTCACTTTCACATTTGAGTATAATATAAGTATGGAAGTATGGATAATTTATGTTTTATTCAAAATATGAGGTCGCATTTGCTAATAATTTTATACTAGGATTTGTTTTGTTGACTACTTTATTAATATCAGCATCAGCATCCGCTGATGTATTAAAACCCTGGTCTGAATACACTATTTCAGTATTCGTTACGACGTTCCTTACACCCTGTATATAAATATTTTTATTATTATTTATATAATTTTAATCATATATTACAATTCTTGCCGTGTGAGAGCCATGCTTAGGCACATTCGGGCTAGCTCGATCGGAATACCACGGGCACCACGGCCTCAAAGGAAACCAGTGGTAAGTAATTCTTTCGATGCTTTTTACCGAGTGATTAAGGTTACAGGAGCTTCATTCTTACTCCAAGGACAGTAATGAACTTGTGACTTGAGTTGTAGCTGTCAATAGGCGGCGGGATTCCTATCAGGTGAATTCAGGTGACCCATCTGCTAATTTGCATCTTTGTCTCTATACAGCAAACTAAAATTTTTTGAAGCTGCTTGCATGTCGCGGCTATAACGCCTATTGTCGAAGAATATAAGTTAAAAATATCTAACTATCCTATTTGAATTTCCAGTAGAAATACAAATATGTTGTCACAAGAGCTTCATGCTCGGATTGTTACCAAACATTATGAGACGCGAGCTCGTAATGATCGCATGCCTCTGCGGTCGCTTCATTTATCACTCCAGTATTTTTACTTGTTTTCAATGTCGACTGTCGACAATCATGTCGTCATTACAAACCCGCCCGTGTACATATCACCCCGTCTATAAATTGTGAACGCCGCCGGTGGTACCGGTCGTCCGTTTAATAGATTTTTACTGCTCGCCTTTTAAGGGCCTTTTATTGTTTTGTCGATTTATTCGCTGTTACTGATTCCTTTTCAACCTATTTTAAGTATAGCCCTATTTTCCGGGTAATGTCTTAGTTCTTAACTATCGAGCATAAATATCGTTTATTTATTTCTCTAATGCTAAGATTTAGTAGGCGAGTAATTTTAAGCGATTACATAAAAATAATCTATTTAATGTATGTAAAAAAAAACCTGTTACCGCATGTCTCAAAGCGCAATGCTGGGGAAGTCTGGGGAACAACTTAAATATTATAAAATTGCCTCTAGCGATTTGAGTTTTTTTTTAAATCTTAATCGCATTTGCTTTAGCTTGCAAAATATGGTGCCTCTATTTGGTGAAGGTTTGACGAAAAATATCAATGGTGTCACTGAAGATGCCGGAACTAATCAATGATAAGTATTTCACGGGTTGTGTTTCGATTACTTTAATACTTGCTAAGTAATTTAAGCCTGTTACAATGCATATG